GTAATATTTTTTCATGAATTCTTATAATTAATAAATGATCATATTTTAGCTTTTGTTTTTTTGGGGCCAAGATTGTGTTTTAACTTTAAAAATACATTTTGCAAAGATGAGCAGCAATAACTCTGGGTTTACATTAGCAATAGCTATAAATGAACCGGAAGGAGTACTTAGAAAATGTTGATCCTACTAACACTATGTTTGGTACAACGGATTTAGTGGAGAGGAGAGGAAAGAGAAGGAATTTTGCTCCCTCTTTCTTATTTGGTTTTATAAAATTTTTAGGAGCCCTTTGCTCCCCTCCTAATCCTTCCTTTCAAAATTGGGAAATTTGGAAGGAAGGAGTAATATTTTATCATATGTCGACTAGTATACCCATATTTATTTTCAATATTCCTAAGCCACCCTTTCCTTCATCCTTTTCTTTATTCTTACCTTATTTGGCTTCTAAATTTTCAGCTGCCATCGAAATTGCTGAGCAATGAAACAAATGGAAAAAAACAGAGAATTTCAAAGTGAATTTCTTTTATAAAATTTCGGTCAATATTTTTTTTTTAAATTTTCCGTTAAATTTTTTTTTTAAATAACCAAGAGCCTTCTACTATGAATGGCAAATATCCGTTACAGGCATTGCATGCTCGTATTTCGTAATAACCAGTTAATAGTTTCATTTTTGAGCTACAAGATATCAATCGTCATTAAATTAAAAAAAGATATCAATGGTTATAATTATTTTATTTAGTACAATTATATTTATAATTACTATTGTACATATATTTTAAGTATAATTTTGAATATATTTATTTATAGAAGTATAATATAACTGCTATTAATTATGTATTATTACTTTATATATTAAAATTTATTTATAGTTATATTTCAATAATATTTTGGAAAAAACAACTTATATAAATGGGGGTAACATTGCCTGTATAAAATTATTTTGAACTAAACAATGTAATATTAAAATCTCTCTCTTTTGATCAATTTAAATAAGATAATATTGAAATTATTTCCGTCTTCTCCTCTCTCATTCTCTCCATTAATCCCTCTCATTCCCTCCTCTCTTTTAAGCCAAACAAATCCTAATAGTGGTTGAATTGAGAAGGGTCAAAAGTAAGTTTAACCTTTTAACCCTATTTTTATTTGATTAGAACAAAAAAAGAAAGGGAAGTTTGGACTGGGACTTCACACGCCTAACAATTCTTTATTTTATGATTTCTTTTGTGCTTTATGTGTGTGTAGGTGCTGCCTAATGCCTATGCTTTGAAAAGATAAAAATAGATGAATTATAACGTAGACTTTCCCTTGTAATGCCAAAATTAACATATGGGCATTTCATAATATATTGTGTAATCAACATGTCCTTAACTATATATTTAAATAAAGTTGTCCTTAACTATATATTTAAATAAAGTTTCAACGTTTTCAATGTATCAATTCGTAGGATTTTCTATCTACAGTTATCCATAGTTTACTCACCCCAAATGAAACGTATGGGAATTGGCATGATACTAATTATATAAATGGGAGGTCAATATCTTGCATATTTTATCAAGAAAAAATTAGTTAAAAATTCCTCTTTGCCAAATTAATTAGAGAATGAGACCTGCAATAAACATAAAGGTGTGGACCCCTCAAATATCAGTAAGTATGGTAGGAAAAAGATTATATTACCTTGACGGGTACTAGTTGCATATAACGAATTCTCACTTGCATATCATGGATCGTAATTGCATATAGTAAATACCTAATTGCATATGGGATCTTAGTTACATATCATTCATTCAAACTTGCATATTGTTGATTCTGGTTGCGTATTATGGATACATAGTTGCATATGGTATCTTATTACATATCATGACTTCTAATTGCATACAATTGATCCAAAGTTGCATATTATTAATTTTAATTGTATATAACGGATGCTTAGTTGCATATGAAACCTTATTGCATATCACAAATTGTAATTGCATATCATTGATCCAAATTTGCATATTGCTGATTCTAATTACACATATGCTACCATTCACATAAAATTTTTTTTGCACGGTATTCATTAACAAATTTTTATCTACAAATTAACATGATAAAAGTAGGATCCATTATATATAATTAGCATCCATAAATAAGAATTTATTCGTGAATACTGCACAAAGAAATTTGTTTATGTTAGTAGTAACGTAAATGCAATGACAATCAATAATATGCGAATTTAGATTAATGATATGCAATTAAGATCCATGATATACAATAAAGTCTCATATGCAACTAGACGTTTGCAATATGCAATTAGAATCAAATATATACAACTATGAATTAACAATATACAATTAAGATCTGTGATATGAAATAAAGTCTCATGTGCAACTAGGCATCCAAGTATGCAATTAGAATCATCAATATGTAACTTTAGATCATTTATATGCACTTAGGATTTGTGATATGCAATAAACGACCATATGCAACTAGGTATCCACAATGTATAATTAGAATGAACAATATGTAAGTTTAGATCAATGGCATGTGATTAGGATTCATAAATATGCAATAAGATCCCATATGTCACTAGGTATCCTTCAAATGTAATTAAAATACGTGATATGCAAATAAAGATCCGTCATATATAATTAGTATCTGTTAGGATAATATAGTCTTTTTTTCTATTATACTTACTGACATTTGAGGGGCCTATACCTTTACATTTATTGTAGGTCCCATTCCTCAATTAATTTGTTAAAGAGGCACTTTTAATCAATTTTCCCTTTTATCAATTAGTTTTAATGACATTTGTATTTTAAATTCAATGTCCTAAACATTCATTTTATTGTTTTCCAGACCACTTTTTTTTTTCTTCCAATTATTGGGTTGGTGAAGATGGAAGATTGCTTCATGGACAAGACGAGAAGCATGTAAAAGTCTATAAAAGAGGGATAAAGTTTGGGTTTGGTGAAGACTTGAAGGACAATGAAAGGGACTTGAACTATAACACCTACCTTTTGAATCATATTTAAACATAATTTAAAACACCTTATTATAGTAATAAAGAATTTTAAATCACACATACAATATATTACCATAATAAAAATATTTCAAAGTCAATTCTAAAATATTGTGGTAAAAAAGGGACAAAATACCACACTTTAAAAGTATCATAGTTAAATAAGAATCAACCTGTAATTGTAATGTTTATAAAATCCTATTATGGTATTTAATCCCAAAAAAGAAATCCTATTATGGTTTTTAAAAAAAAAACAGTCTATCTCATTACCTAAACATTTTAAAGAGTGGATTAGGGAACTGATGAAGCCCAAAATATAAAAATTAAACCATAAATCCACTACAACGAGGGCAAACAAGAGCTTATAAGTAAAAAAAACATATAGTACCTACACATCATGCCTTTCAAAACAAGATTAAATAATACAAGTTTAACCTCCCATCACCAAACCTTATTTCATCCTTAAACCCTCTGACTGAATTTATGAGTTAAAAATTTACATGTGCCAGATGCTTATAAGCTCATTAATTATAATATCTAGTTTGGCCAAAAACTACAAAGCTCACAACTAGACCACAAAGAAGCATCATTAGTCACATGAGAATAATAATCCTATATCAAAGGAATGAATCATAGTGAGTAATAATGATCCTCTAAATTTAGGTCTGACTGATTTTTAACCTATTTTATTTTATTTTCTATCTAATTAATCCTAATCCTAATCCTAAGTCATGAAAACAAAATTTAGGATGTTGCGTGAACTCAATGGTTGCTTTCATAGTGACCAGCAAAACAGTGAAGTGGCATTATTGAGCACATAATATTGATTATAAAATTGGAAAAGATTAGCAGGCTCACACATGTAAAGTTAAGAACAAATTGACAGCAACCATATATAATACGATACATTATCCCTTGGAAGATTCAAGAAATGTTAGGGATGCTCATAAGCACACATGATTTCATACATTGCAGGCTACCAACTACATAATTTAAAATTGGGAGGAACATAACGTAAAGGCTTAATTTTTTTCCCTCCATAATAGTGCTTAACTCATGGTGAATATAGGAAATACTACCTCCAAATTTTAATATAAAAGCTAGATGACTAATATGAGGATATTAAAAAAAATTAATTAAATTAGTTGTTTATAATAAATGGATGTTGTATTCCCTAATATATTCTGATTAATCATATGCATTGGAACTAGCATTTGTTAAAAATTCCTTAACACATGGGTTACCATAAAAATTATCTGGAAGCAAAATGAATAAATTCTTGAGATCATATGAATTGAAATCTTATATTTATGATCAAATTAAATTTTTAACTTGTTTTTACGTTAAAAACTGGACAGTAATAATTAAAGTTTGTATGGTGAAACTTTTCCCCGGTGTTCACCTAATACATATCCCCATTCTCCACTCTATTCAAGTACAATTCCCCATCTAATCTTCAATTCCCCCCCCCCCCCCAAAAAAAACTTTTGTTAAGCCACAATTATACGTTATTTATAAAAATTATTCCTGACTTAACTTTGATCAATTAAAGCAATTTATAAAATATTTGAATATAGTATAAACACAAAATCACCTATTTATGAGCACACTTAGCTCTTCATAACCTAGAGCCTTGGCTTTCTTTTAGAAAAATTAAGAGGACTGCGCCTAAATTAACACGGTGCTTGATGCAGATTTTAATTCTCCAGGGATGAACGGCTTTAAAGAACTAACGAGGAGTTATTTTTAAAAATAAAATTATAGACCTAAGTAAAACACAAGAACTAAGTTGCACGAGTCTGAATTTAGTGAGTCAAAACTATAACAATTAAATTATACCAAATAAAAATTTAAGAATTAAATTACAATTGAATTAAAACTATAAGAGCCAAAAGATTAATTTTCCCAAAAAATAAAGATAAAAAGGAATAGCAAAATAATCCTTCAATCTCCTCCTTCCTTCCCATAAATCACCCAAAAAAGACAAAAAAATCTGAACATATTGCCCTCAACTAAAAAGCCAAATCACATTACTCTTTATTATTTATAGAATAAGAACAACACTTGTCACACGTTGCACTACCCAGTTACAAAAGACCAGCATCAACATGCTCAGCTGGTAAACCTTGGTGTGAGGGGAAGGTGATATTTGCTTACAATCACAAAAAACGAATGCAGAGAAATACATCCAGAAAGAGAGCGAAACAAAAAAATAACATACTTGTGTACAGGATCCACATATCATTAGGTACAAAGCCTAACATTCAATTTCCCCTTCTCTCTATATGGCGGCACCCTCTATATTCATTTTTTGAATTCAAAGGATTCAGGCCATTCTTTTTCACATGGACTTCAGCTGATCTATACATCACTACCCTGGGACACCCTTCACTGCATTACAACAACTATTAAAAAAGACAAAAGTAGAGGGAAGAAAGCTACATCATCGAGCTGACATTTGGGTGATCAGCAAATTTAGAACCATGATGTGGATATGCATGAGTTCAGGAGATGGATTTAACTTCCCTCTTCAGTAATTCCTGAACAGTGATGGAACTAGCCTGAATTAGTTTCATGATAGAGGAAGAAGATCCCTACAATGCTTTTCATTTTTGATGAATCAATGTTACCTGTTTGGTGGCAGCAACTGAGAGGCGTTCTCTCTCTTTTTTCTTGCGTCTGCATTCTCCACACCAGCTAGAAAAATCTTTTAGATATTTCTTCATCTCTCTAAAAATTGAACTACACAAGAACAAAGTGGTTGGACATTTGACTAAACAGGTGTAATGGTTTTTTTTTTTTAAAAAAATGAAATGCTCATCATATAGGAACTCAGACTTGCAAGTTGGTGAGGACCAAAGGAGGGAAGGCTTTCTTAAGAACCCAATAAAGAACGTCAGTTCCTTAAGAATCCCCATAAAAAGAAACTATCCTGTGACAGGCTGAAGTTTCCAAGGGACGTGTGAAAAATTGCTTATGCAGCAAGACAACAAAAAAGATTGATTACATCGAGGATTAAAAAGCTCAATGGAAATACCTTCTACACCATATAATTAAACTGATTCGCTGTCCAGATGTTGTAGCTCGAGCACCATGCCGATGACGACCATTATGAAATACTGCTCGTCCAGGAACATGGCAATAATCATAGATTTCCTACAAAGATTTCATAAGAGGGGGTCCTTGTGAGATTTATTATTAAGATTTGCTTGTTATAGTATTATAATGTTGTTATTATGCCATCCAGCATAGAGTATGACTTATAATGAATTGACACTCCAACAATCCAAAAATGTATTAATCAATTCATGTACTTGGAAAAAAGGGCAAATCACGAGCTTGGGATTTACCCTATTGCATACAATATGCTCCCACAATGCCACTGTCATATATTTTAGTTTTATCCCGGTATCATCCCCACTTTCATACCACAATCTGAAAACCCATCTTTCATATCACCATTGTATCCTGAGAGAGAAGTCCTCAAAATTTCTTTTGTTACCACTCTTCAAACGTGGAATCACTGAAAATGAACTGTTGTATGAACTTCAGGACATAGTTGATAAGTTGTTTCCCTAAATCCAAAACGCTAGTCACTTTTTTCTACTTAAGAGGTGTTTGGGTAAAAACTAAACCATGGCTTTAAAAGTTCTTTTATGATATATAAAGTAAATATGTGAAGAAGTTTGTCTCGTTTTGCGAAAAAGAAGCACTTTTGGGTGCTTCCAAACCTCCTTAAAAGGTATTTTGAACGGAAACCAAACCATGGTTTTAAAAATGATTTTACAGTATATGAAGTATGTGAGAGGAGTTTGTCTCAACTTGCATGAAAGCACTCTTAAAGAATCCAAACACCCCCTTAGAAGACCCAAAAAAAATAAACCAGGGGCAGAGGGTACGGATACACAACTGCACAATCAACAGGTAGGCATTGCTATTTTCCTGCTTTAAAATTTTAAGTGGAATTCAAATACACAGATGCACACAAAATCTTGTAACTAAATATAAAACAACAGGCCAAAAGAACTTTATCCATAACAGTAAGTGTACCTCTGGCTGGGTCTCTGTGTTCACATGTTCATCACAACGGACACCCCGAAAGAAAAGTTCTCCACCTGTAAATTGTTTTCCCAAGCAAATATTCAGAGTGACTTCTGAATCATCCACATGGAAGCCTGCAAAAACAAAGCTCCTCAGATTTCAACAAAAGGCCTGTAGTGCTACAGGATTGCTATCCAACTACACAACAAATGACACAGTTAAGCAAAACAAAAGATTTACAGCACAAGATTCAGATGCACACAGTAAGAGAAAACATGCTTAGCATAGACTAAATCTCTAAAGGAAAAAATGTTTTCATAAGATTGTAACTTCCTTCCAACAGCAGAAGAGACACAATTAGATTTAAGGGCAGCTAAGCCTATAGCTCGTATAACTTGGAATATATTTAGATTATTCAGATCATATTATTGCAGCAAAATATCCTCTGTCTATTTATCGGTGTTTTCAGACAATCATGCTGAGTCTTCTATTAATGCATTTTATTTTTCTTCTAACTTGTTTTAGTAAAAAGAGGAAAAAAAAAAAAAAGGCAAACACACAAAATTACAGGTATTTGAGCATAGCTCAAATGTACAAATAGCATGAAGAGCATCACCAAAAGAAAATTAATACGAAGACCACCAAAAATAGCTCCAATCCTAAAGCACCATTAGACATCCAAATAATTAATTGCAATTGCAGATACATCGCTAGAGCAACTACAGAAGTACATCTAAAAGTCCTACCAAGTTCAACATCTCTATGCATTCCATATTCCACAACAAAACCATGATGAGAGTCCAGCGAGGATCCACCAACTCTAGCGAAGAAAACTACATTAAGTTTTCAAACAGAAAAGTGAGTTTGTATTACAATAATAATTACTTTTCCAGTCACAAGTTACTATTGAAATCTCACAGAGAAAGATTTATGTTACCTCGAGCTAGAGGAATAATGTAATCATTCATTAATCTGTCAAGCATGGTTTCCATGCCAAGATCATCAAGCACCGCGCCATATTGGTTCATTGTGTTAGGCCGCATGATTCTGAATTTGGTCTCATGGACCCATCTCTCAAAATGATCCACCTAAGGAATTAGAACCTGATAAGAAAATATTAAAAACTAATATATAAAACATAGAACCATGTGTCTATGAAAAGGTCAGAAAAGAAAAGTAATACCTCAGATACCAACATTTCACAAAATTGTGGCTGAAGCATTTCAAATGTATAAATTCCTGCAGATGGTTCATCTATTACACTTCTAAAACTCTCTTCTGCATTATCTCTAACTGCTTTGAGGAATGATGGTGTGAAAAAGTTTTCTGCATGCATAGTATATATCTCCTTATGCAGCGGCTACAAACAGAAGCGAACAATTGGTAAGGACTACAATAATTGGTGCTTCTATGCTACATGCAGAAAAGGAGACAAGGGAATGATTCTCTAGCTAGCGTTTACTGGTTTATCTTACACAATTTCCAAAATCAAATACAAAATATTCCAAATAAATGCTGCCTCCACTTCAACAGAGATAACTTATCCTATGGACGCATCTCTCTCAATTTTGGATAAATAAACATAAAATGGAACAATTGAGACTGTCAATTAAAGCGAAAATACTGAGAACTAAAAGTTTCCATTCACTAGAAAACTTACTGGATAATTCAATATGATCTTTTGCCTGTATTCCTTGTGCCTTTGAATCTTCTCAACTCAACAATTAAAAAAAAAAAAAAAATTAGTGACCGAATCTGGGCCAAAGGCAAAATATCATAAGAGAAGGTTGAGTCCATCACATGCATCATATAGTCATGCTAAGCAAAAAACCCATGCTGACCAAGGTAAAAACATAATAGGGAAGGGTTTAATTTCTTTAGCTAACAACTACATTATCTTAATAATAAATTATTTTATTTTATCATTAGCCAGATGGTAAAATTTTCAGTCGGTTTTAGAAACAATAAGTGTTAACAAAATCTTGAATTTATTCTCTGAGAATCGCTCTTTCCATGGTATGCCAAACAGGCAATCCTCATTGTCTGAAGGCAAACTTAGATACGGTTAGACTGCCTATAAAAATGTTTGAGCTTCCATACAGTTCTTAATTATATGTAGCAGATATATCATTTCTATAAAAGATACAGGCAAGAACTTTCAAAAGACAAAGGAAATCCAAATTGAAAATCAGGTAGCCGTTACTCTCATAATAATAGTAGGCGTGTCTAGACAAGAATGACTTCAAAATGTTTCTTGATACGAGACCAAGCGGATGCATGAATATCAATGCCACTGCTAGGTATATGCATACAAATTGGTTGCCATCTCAGCCTATCAAACAGGACAAAGATCACTACTTTCCAATTCCACACAGAAAAGGGTTACGTCAATTCTCTTACAGGCTTCTAAGTCAAGCAAAAATGCAGCACTCTGTAATCAAGACTCAAGCACCACATTTGCTTTTTCCCGCGAACAGTTCATGCCCATGAACCATAATGCTTCTGGGTAGTATCAATAGTTTTACAAAAATGAATAAAACAAGGCTTTCCGTGGCATTCAGGGTACTGGCTCCCCTTTACTATCATGGCAAAACCTCAATACTCATACATACCCGAGCGCGTTCACTTTCTGGCAAATACCGGAATAGGATGTTCTTCATGTAATGGACCTTGGCGTCACGTGGTGCGTTCAGCATGTGAGGAGGCAAATACTGCTCGAGGGAGCTGAAGAGAAGAGGGCTGAATTCCAATTGGAGGTCATCATAACTCTCGGGCTTGTGATCCATTCTGGGACTAGCACAGAGCTTACGCGAATCAGATAGTGAGGCCAAACTAGGGTTTACAAAGTTGTCTGCCTTGCCGTCACTGGTAGCGCGAGGTTGGTGTCTTCGATCCCAGGAACCATTTTGAGACATGGTTTCTGAAAGAAGCCGAGAAACGATGACCTGGGGAGAGAGAGAAAGGCTATGGGAACATTAAGGGAAAAAAGATCGAATGTTTGAAGAAGAACGAAGATAAATTGGAAGGGGGATGAGGCAGGTTCAGGCTATGGCTTGGCTAGGGTTGAACTTGCAAGGTCCGGGTCATGTGGATTTCGCTGGAGCGGAGGTGGCGCTCCACAGAGGAAGAGAGGAGTCCCATTAGACAAAGGGTGGGACACGCCTGCTGACACAGTGGGCTCCTTCACACGTGGAAGATCCATATGCTATTATGACAGCGTGGAACATAGCATTGGGTTCAATTAATGGGGTCCAGATTAGGCTTGTTTTTTTCCCGGGGAAAAAAAAGAGACTACTACCTCTTTTTTTGATAAGAGAAGAATACAAAAGCAACTGGTAAGCTACAGTACTGGAATCACCGTGAGAATTATCAGTAAAAGAAATATGTAGGCCCAACGGCATTGACAGCGCTCTCTCACGTTCTCCTCCCTACTTGAGTGGCTAACCTCGACCATCCAATCCCGGTGAAGCAAGCAGCGTACCTCTTGTATCAGATCCCAATTCTCATGCAAATCTTGGTCGCTATGCTTAATCAGCTGGATAGCATCCAAAGAGTCGTTAAACATGCAGACTCTTCTGTCCTCCATCCCAAGCGCGTTTAAGCCCAATAAGACATTCCCAGAGTTTAGCAAACAACGCATCTCCATCAGGTAGTCTTAACATGAAAGATTCAAGCAGAGTTCCCTCTGGTGTTATGATTGTTCCTCCACAACCTATGCTCCCACTGTTATGCGAGAAGGCACCATCTACCCGAACAATAACTCCATTCTCTATCCTCGAACAAGAATTCCTCTCCGAATGTGTCTGAGCTCCACGGATGTTGACATGCTGCAGTCTGTTTTTTGTAGAGTTAAAACTTATCAAAATCACTTTCGCCTTATCGTGTATCTCCCGCACACTACTGGTCTGGTCTTCAAACATTTTCTCATTCCTGCGCTTCCATATGAGCCAACAAGTCACCGCAAAAAGATCTCGCCACTGCCCTCCGTCACGACCACAGTTCTCCCGTAGATTCATTGAGCACCATTCTTGGATATTGCACCCAAAGAATCTATTCACCCATCCAGGCTTAATGAGGGAGACCCATAATGATTTAATATCAGGGCAGTCTCGAAGTACATGGAGAGAGTCTTCAATAGCCTGCTCACAACACACACACTCCGGTGCAACATTGATCCATCTTCTGATGCAAGCTTCATTAGTCAGAAGTTTGTTATGAAGAGTGAGCCACATAAAAGTTTTACACCTCTGAGGCGTACTGAGCTTCCAAACGCACCTCCAAGGGGCTGATCCACTGTTCGCTTCCCCACTAAGAACTCTGTAGGCCGACTTAACAGAGAAGACCCCATGCTTCTCATGCTTCTATCAAACGTCTTCCCTCCCTTGCCTGTTAACCACACTCTCAGAACCTTCTACAACCAGATCCCAATTGTGTTTTATCCCTTTCCAAAGATGGGAACCTGGCCAACCCTTATCAATCTTAGGGAATGGGTCCTCCCCACATTGGTATTTGCTACGGACTACCCTTGACCAAAGTGCATCCTTATGTTTCATCAATCCCCAGCTAGCTTTCATCATGAATGCTTGGTTTTGGAGCCTTGCATGTCGAAGCCCCAGTCCACCCTTCCTTTTTTCACGGCAAGCTGCATTCCAAGAAACAAGATGTACTCTCTTTCGTTCACTGCTAGAGCCCCAAAGAAAGTTCCTAACCTGTTTATCAAGGTCATCACATATCGATATGGGCATATCACAAGTTTGCATAGGATATAAGGGAACGACCTGAACTACTGATGAAGCAAGAGTATGTCTCCCAGCAAAAGATATGGTATGTGTCTTCCAGTTACTCAATCTAGCTTTAACTTTGTCAACCACATACTGGTACGTAGTCTTCTTTACTCTTTTGTGATGGAGAGGAACTCCTAAATACTTTCCTAGATCCACAGTGCTAAGGAAGCCCAGCCTCTCACTAAGTTGGGAAGTGCGAATGTGATTCATATTGCTTGAAAAGAACACTCTGGTTTTACTTTGACTCACTCTTTGCCCTGAAGCATTGCATAAATCATCTAAACATTTTTTAATAACATCAACCTGTTCCATGGAAGTTTCAGCCAACAAAATGAGATCATCCACAAAAAAGAGATGAGAAATAGGAGGCCCATTCTTATTCAGCCGAATAGGTTTCCATTTCTGAAGGTGTATCTGTTCTTGAATCAAGTGAGCAAGCTTCTCAATACAGATGACAAAAAGATAAGGGGAGATCGGGTCACCTTGTCGTATACTATGGGTAGGCAGAAATTCTGAAGTTTTACTTCCTTCCCATAAAATCTGCATTTTAGGAGAGGAGATGCATCTTTGAATCACATTTAGAAGCTGTGAAGGGAGATTAAGCTCAGTAAGACAGTGAAGAATGACGCCCCAGTTAAGGCGATCATAAGCCTTCTCAAGATCAATTTTAATCACCATAAATCCTTTTTTCCCTTTCATATTCCTCATTGAATGGATGACTTCCTGTGCTATAATCGCATTATCTGATCCCAGTCTACCAGTAACAAAGCCGCATTGATTAGGAGAGATAATAAAAGGCAACACACTTTTAATTCGATTGGCAACCACCTTAGTAATAGCCTTGTAAATAACATTGCATAGACTTATAGGCTAAAAGTCTTTAATTGTTTCAGGTTGATCCTTTTTTGGGATAAGAACAATAAATGTGCCATTAATATCATCAATAGAAGCAGGATTAATAAAGGCATCCTGGACGAATTTAACAACAGAATTGCCAACATGATTCCTTTGGAAGAATAAGGCACCTAACCCATTAGGACTAGGAGATTTAAGAGCCCCCATACTGAAAACAGCCTACTTAATTTCTTCAGGTAACACTTCACCTCTAAGATTCATCATATGACCCTCATCCATACCAGGAAAGGAAAAACTACAAGAGAGGTTAGAAGAACAAGAGTTGTGAAATATTCTGATGAGCCCTCTTTTATCAAAAAGGTGTCTTCTCTTACGACCTAGGTGACCAAAGACCTCCCGACTCCAAACCGAAACTTCAGATTGAAACCGGGTGATGTTTGCCAGCCAACTCCCATCCTCACGCCATGTAGACTTTATGAAAGAATCAAAGTTTTCATGGAGGACCCAAGGTGCTACAAAGTGAAATATAGTCTCCCTTTTGTCGTTATTCCTTTCTTCATGTCCCAAACGTAAGAGAATAGGCCAATGATCATATTTAAAGAACAGGAGATTCAGCACCGAGACGTTGGGATAAACTTGCATGAACAAAGAATTGGCAAGAACCTGATCCAATCGACTTTCACATCCCTCTCTTTTCCAGGTGAAGTAAGGTCCACTACATCCTATATCAACAAGTTCTAAGTCTTCAACCCAATGGCAAAACTCACGGTCAACACTGCTCCCAATCTGAGTCGAAGATCTTTGCTCCTAGAGGGAAAGGGTCCCATTAAAGTCCCCTCCTATGCACCAGGGTCCTGTTACCGTTTCACTTATGGATTGAAGGGAGTTCCAAGCCGCTCTACACTTAACAGGGTTCAGATTGGCGTATATTATTGTGAAGAAGGAAGTAAACCCTATTATCAAAACTTAAATGGATGAACTGTTCACGAGAGATCAACGCGTCGAATTTCCAAGCCCCCATCCTTCCATAAAACCCAGATGCCACTGCTGAAACCTTGTGCATCAATAATCTCGACATTATCAAAGCCTAATTGCTTTGAGATGCGTTGAGCTCAATCACCCTTGGCTCTAGTTTCCAAAATAGCAAGGAAGTCAACTTTGTGCTTCCTAACCAGCTCTCGCACCAGTCCTAGAAATGATTTTGTCCCAATACCTCGGCTATTCCAGAAAATAAAATTCATTAGACAAAGATATTTGAGGGTTGAGCTTTAGAGCTCTCTAATGCTTCAGTATTGACCATGTTAGCCCCTTCCAGATCTGTCATCACGTCAGTTGTATCAGTGATAACATCGCTGTTTAGCTCTCTCAGCTCCTGATCCTTACCAAGGTGAATTGACATGGCATCGTTTGTAGGCACGTTGTCCCTGGGTCTACCCTCTGGAGCATTCTCATGCCCCAAAACAGAGAAGGGATTGGAAAAGTCAAAGCTTCATTAGCCCCTTCCTCATTCGTTCCTTTATTTTTAACTTGGTATTTCATTTTTGGGTTATTTTCTTTGCCACGTATTCTCTTTTTTCTTATAACCTTTTCCCTAGATTCCACTGGGGTCCACCCTTTCCCTTTAATATTGTCGTTAACCACTGCTCCAAATATCCTGGAATCTCCCATAACGAACACCTCATCTATCTTCTTTGCTTTATCCTTTCCCTCTTTACTCATATTGCCATGTGGCACTGTGTTCTTGCAAGGATCACTCGGAGAAGCTAAAGATTGTTTCACCACTGAATCCGTGTTGACTCCATTCAAATCTGCCTTGATTCTCTTTTTACTAAAATCTCGTTTCACAATCATTTGGGGCCCATAAAATCCTTCGACAGATACGCAACTATCTTGTTGAATCTGTAACTCTTCCTCCATCGTAGGGGCTTCACCGGTGCTATTTTTCGATGCACCATCTGGCCTCTCTCCTATGTTGGTTGGCATCGCCTTCTCCTGACTCTTTCAAGGACACCTTTCCATGTGGTGTCCATATGTTCCATAGTGAAAACAAATGAGATGTAAGCCTTCATATTCTATTTTACGAACCTCACTGAAGTGTTCAAAGGCCGGGAGTAGCGGTTATTCTAAATCTATTTCGACGCAAATTCTAGCAAAGCCACCTCTCTCTAAGAAAGCTGTGGTCCTGTCTATCTTTAAAGTCTTACCAACCAAGTTTCCCAACCTTCTTAGTGACTCAACGTTATAAAGTTCCACTGGCAAGTCCGGGATCCGTATCTAGGCTGCTATTCTTTTTTGGTTATCTGCTTTCCAGGGGTTGAAGTTAGGCCTCCATTGCTGAACAAGTAAATAATGGTCACCGATCATCCAGGGTCCTTCTTGTAGTGCGTAATCCTCATCCTTAGGGGTAGTAAAGGAGACTATAAAGTAACCATTGCTTAGTGGTGTAATCCTTATAGGATTCTTAGGGTTCCACATACGCTCCATCCATTGTCACGTCAACCCCTCCCCAAAGGACTTACCTAATAGTTTGACAATCAACAAGTTCATATACGGCTTACACCACGCTGCATATTCATTCGCTGAGACCTTCAACAGTGGGAATTTACCTGTGGTTCTCCATGATTCCTTTGGTTCTCTCTCCTACCCATCCTGTTGTTCACTATCTTTAGTTGTTTCAGTGCACATCTTGGCAAAATACTCACGCCATCCACTCATAGCCTCAGAGGCAGACGGATTAGTCTCAAGGAAGCCAGATTCCCCTAGACTCAACAGCTTGTCCCTGTACGAAAACCTATTTCCGTATCTTCTCACATCCCCAGGCAGCTTGCCATTATAGGAAACACCCCTCCTTCAATCATCTTCCTCTCTCTCACCCCCACTGTTGCCCTCACTCCCTCCCCCTCTAGTGCTCGCACTTGCCATTTTCTTTTACCTTCACCAAACTAGAGACTACTACTCCTAACCCTTAATATAATAACTAGGCGATTAATTTAATTAGATTAAAAAACTAATTAAATTAGTTATTTGTACTAAATATGTGTTGTCTTTTCTAAAATGTCTTTTCTAATCAAGTTTATTAGCTAAAATTATTATTATTATAAAAACTACCTTAAAAAATTGATAAATATAAAAGACAAAGTAAATTAGAGTATTATATTTAGAAATAAAATAAAAGTAAGATGAGTTTTTATATTAAGAATTGGAAGTAGTATTTTATAAACACACTACATGTTAATGTTAATGATAGCTTCAAACATAATATCTCATCCAAACATGACGATTGGACATGGTGCAAAGGCAATTTGTTGTTGACAAAAGAGATTATGCTTGATGCAGTTTTGGGAGAGAAGTCCCTTCATTTGGCTAGAAGAATTTTTTTGAAGGGGATAAATTTAGCAATTTCTTATAATCACTTTAAAAAAAATCATTTTTACATAAGTCGATGTAAAACTTCACTCAGATGTTTATCTTGTATAATATAAAATTATTTTTAAAATGCTAATTTAAACACTCTTAGAATCTAGAAATAGAAAATTTAGACTTATTGGATTGTCTATTTTGACCCAAATTACAAGTTTTTAGAAAGAAACTACCTAAACATATTAGATTGCCCATTTTAGCTCAAATTTTGCTAAAATTTAACTCAAAAATTATTTAGTTTTTTAATAGATTACTTTGAAAAATCCATCGTTAATGGGCTTGGGGCCTA